GGATTGGTGGGATATCAAGCTTAGTGGAGTGCGTTGGCAACATAAATTTTGCGAAATACGTCGAAATATTGGAGGAAGGACTCTTGCCACTTTATTCCTCCCGTGACACGGTGCTCCATCTTCCTGGAACAACGTTGTGTTCTTGTCCACGAAACCCACTGCTAGAAACACCCAAAAGTGGCAGGAAGAAAATGGTATCCAGAAGTTGCCCTAGCTGAGCCAAACTCCTGACATGAACCCCCATCGAAAACCTCTGGGCCATACTCGACCGGCAAGTCAAGAAACAACAAAAAAAACCAACTTCAAAGAGCGATCTGCTCCAAGTTTTGAAGGAAGAGTGGGCGAAAATCCCACAATCTAAAATTGACGAGATGATTCTCACGATGTCCCAAAGGATCAACGAACTCCACAAAGCAGGATTAGAGTAACTTAATCTATGAGACTTTGGGCGTGATCGAGTATATCAATCGAAAGGGTTTGACCTCCTAAGTCCAGAACTGTAATTAGATCTCAAATCGGTCAAGAGATAACGGAGCTATGAGCTCAAAGTTTGTACTTGAAAAAACACACTAAAAACTCAGAGTTGTTCTATGAGCCGCTTTGCCGCGGCTTATAACAAGATTTATGACATATTTACATAAATGTTTACATTCTCGTTATTTTTGAAAACAATATCTAGCATTTTGAAATATTTAAAGTACTGATCTTAATAATGTGTTGCCAAATCCATTGTTGTTAGCAATAACTGCTGAAAACTTTCTCTCTGTAGGAGTTTTCAATGCACTTATTTTGTGATGTTTTCTATCTTAGCTAGATTCTAATATATGTGGAAGTTATTTTGGGTGTAAATGTGACTATAAAAGATGATAAGGGCATAAAGCTAGAATGTAGAAAAAGTAGCGAATTTGCTTCAATAATCAACTAATTGTTTTATCATTAATACATATTTGACCACATCACCAACACCTCAACGACAGAACCTACTGCTGGAAGGGGACAAACGTTAGTACAGCGTTAACGGTTGTTGGAAACACGTCGTAAGTCAAACCCACATCATCTAACATGTCAAAGATAAGTCAACGCTAGAACTTACTGCAGGAAAGTGGCAACGTTGGTACAGCATTAACGGCTATTAATTGTAGAAATAAACGACCTTATAACACCAAATTTTAGGTTTGTGTTTTGGTGAATGCTCCTGAAGAAGCTGTAAAGTGAAACGTTGGGTGTCTAATTAAATAAAACAACAATTCGGTGTTATATGGTCGTTTTTCTAGAATTATATGTCTTCCATGCACCAATGTACACTACATATATTAAATAATGAGCATTAACGGCTGTTGGAAACACTTTGCATCAAATCCATATCATCCAACATATCAAAGATTCGACAAAGCCAGAACTTACTTCAGTTGGTGCAACATTCATGACTACTGGAAACACTTCATGAGTCACGAAGCGATGAAGAGTTGCAATAAATGAAATTATATTGTGGGTTGTATGCAACAGGAACTATTGCAAACTGGTCAGGATGAGCTTTGATCATTAGAGTCTCATCTCCTGCTTGAAGTTAACACCAGTAATTTCTAAATTTTTATACACATTTCGTTCTTACCGTTGTTTCTAGTGTGGTTATCGAAGCATTTAACAACTAGCAAGATAGTGCTAGAAGACCACAGTGCTAATCAAGTGAACGAAAATATGGCCAGCGAGTTAGATTGACACATGTTATATGTGGATAAAGTACCAGCGAGTTATATTGACACATGTTATATGTGGATAAAGTACCAGTGAGTTATATTGACACATGTTATATGTAGATACAGTACCAGTGAGTTAGATTGACACATGTTATATGTGGATAAAGTACCAGCGAGTTAGATTGACACATGTTATATGTGGATAAAGTACCAGCGAGTTAGATTGACACATGTTATATGTGGATAAAGTACCAGTGAGTTATATTGACACATGTTATATGTGGATACAGTACCAGTGAGTTAGATTGACACATGTTATATGTGGATAAAGTACCAGCGAGTTAGATTGACACATGTTACATCTGGATAAAGTACCAGCGAGTTAGATTGACACATGTTATATGTGGATAAAGTACGATTGAACAACAGCGGCTTGTCTGAAGAAAAATAACAATTTCTTCCGATCAAGAATCAATATATACTAATACTTCAACAAGCGACAAGAGATTTGTGAGAGAATATTAACGGTGACTGGTTTATATAAGGATAAACATTCGTATATACCACGAATTTATAACAAATCTATACAAAAACACTATTTTATAATAACACACACACAGAACTGAATATGGTTAACTTGTATATTACACAAGCACCCATTACTGAAGATGTTGTCAATATATATCAACAAACTGTATCCACGGAATATAGAATTCCATTCTCTACTTATTTTAAATACCAAGTTTCATTTGTTTATAATAAAACGTCTTTTCACATACGAAATTATTTTGTTTTTTTATATACTTGACTTAATGTATCCGAGAGTCACATATCAAGAAATGGAAGTTTCTATGAAAATTGGTAGAATATAATTTTACATATTAAGCCAAAAAGATTTGTTTTCCATAATTAAATTAAAATGTTTCAATAAAGACATCTATCTGTGTTCATAGATTTTTTGAAATTGTAAATTAATCATCGCTAAACTTATATTAGGTTTCTAAGAAACATGATTATAACTGAAAAAGCCAAGTAGTAAAAGAAAAAATCAAAACTGGGGCTTGACCCTCGAACTTTTGGTTAACAGGGATAATGCTATCCAAGAGTACATCTCTCCCCTTACTCCTAAGGCTTTTCACCAACAAGTATGAAACTTCATACTAGTTTGTGTTGTTGTGGTCAGGCATCCAACTAAAGCATAGGAGTATAACTTGACTCGCATACGTATTCTTATTATTAATATTTGAAATTTATAATATGAATCATTTAAAGTACGCTTTCTAAGAAACATTACTGTAAACGAAAAATCTCAATTGGATAGAGCATTGACCATATTAGCCAAAGGTCCTGGGGTCAAGACCCAGTCCAGGAGTTCTTTTCACTTGTTGGCTTTTTCGTTTGTAATATTATTTCTTAGAAAGTGTACTCCGAATGATTCATAATATGAACTCTACTAGGTTTCTTTAATGCAAGTGTAAACTTATGTCCGACGAATGTTCAAGTAAACCGATGTCCGACATATAAGCGCAATTATTTGCAAAACATTGATCCCAAACAGGAAAGGAAATACAAATACACAATTTTTGCAAATGAATGAAATCCTTATTTGTACAAATAAAGCAGTGAAAGTCTTACTCGACTGATCAGCTTCTATCTCAGGATAAGCCTTCTATTGTATTCTATAGTGAAGAGAGAAGTTCTATACCAAACGAACACAAAATCAAAACAAGAGCTTGAGTGAGATGTGGGAGAATTATTAGATTACTAAGTTTAATACATACTAAAAAGCGATTCTCTCAATTTTTACTAATCTACACTAGTTTCTATATCATTCCTTAATCAAACTAGCTTACCACAGGATCAAGCTGACACAAGCTATCTTAGTAGGATGTAACGATTGCCTAAACAAAAGGAGCAGTAGATGTTTACAACCTTTGTGTATCAGGTATATGGGAAGATGCTGACTACATTCAGAAACTACATGGAAAGTTATAGGAATCAACCTAAATATACCTAAAGAAAGATTTATTCTATATTAGTTATAGAAGGATAATATATTATGATATTTATATCATCACATAGGAAACACTTCTGGATCCACAATAGCAACACTTATTTTTGTCCGATAATTATGAATGAAAACAACTGAAGACGGTATCGGTTTGACCTTATTTAATAACAAAAGTTGTCTTTAGGATTAGAATTGTCAGGGTTTTAAATATGAGTGGGCTGAGGATTCTTCTACAGCAGGTGCCTGTGATTTGTTGGCGATATATTGTCAACAATAAACAAACAGCACACAATACACTTGTTTTAAAATAACACGTTCAAAACAAGTCAAACGTATGTATGAAAATTATTTACACTATGGGATATTGCAGTTTTATCTAAAACTCAAAATAATTATTTATTTTTTGTTGTCAAAGTTCACACAGTCTGATTCAATTACTTTAAAATCCAATGGACAAGACGAATTATTTTTCTTTATCTTCTTTTTATCACAATACAAATCAGTGAATAATTCACTTACGTTACCCCATGGGTTACCACAGTTGTATCCTGAACCTTAAATATTTGTCTCCTTTTCGTCAAAGTCCATACAGGCGGGTTCAATTACTTTAGAGCACCTTTTGACAAGACAAATTATTCTCCTTATTTCTATTTAACTGTGAAACTCACTTTAAAGTATCGCTCATTATGGCAAATCACTCGCACGCCGGCTAACTTCACGTTTTCTAACTTTTTTCTGCCTGAACTTTTACATTCACTTTACTTTACTATACTTTGCTTGACTTGCGCACGCTTGGTCACCTATATTTATATATATTGCCCAACTGAAGCCTCGAACTTTCTCTAAACTACACGAGCGACGCTGTACTCACTTAAGGTAACGAGAAAAATACCAAAGATTCGAGTAACGTGACGTAAAGCTTAGATAACAATGTAACTGCAAAAACAAAGTACGATTTGTAAAGAGTTATGTAACGAAATTTATTACAACTAACACGTTGAAAACAGCCCATCTTCAACACCCCTGTCTTAAAAACTAAACAATTATTGAATATTAAGTCACAAAATAAACTAAATAATACCACCTACACTAAACAGTCTTGTATATCTAACAAGAATAAAGATCGCAGCAAGTTAATCAAGTGAATGTTATGCTAATTCATAGAGTGAAAATATTTTACATTTAAATAAGTAACGTTGAGAGCAATTTTAACATGACTGATTTTTTGTGGATTTGTCAATAAACACAAAGCTACACAATGGGTTATCTGTGCTGTACCCACATTTGGTGTTGAAACCCGTTTTTAAGCGTTATAAGCCCACAAACCTACCGCTGAGCCACTAGGGGTTATTTTAACATGAATAAAAATTATCACAATTATTTTCAAATACTTGTTATTTTTTAGAGATTGAAAAGATTACAAGGGAAAGGAAAACTATTTTTTGCATCGTTATAGCCCCCCAGTAGCACAGCGGTATGTCTGCGGACTTACAACGCTAGAATCCGGGTTTCGATACCCGTGGTGGACAGAGCACAGATAGCCCATTGTGTAGCTTTGTGCTTAATTACAAACAAACAAACAAGCATCGTTATAGATCTTTGTAATGTAAAGAATTTTACTTTTACCAATAATAGTGTATAGTAATATATTATGGACGATTAGAAGCAAGAACGTATTCGTAGAACACAGACATATAGATGCTTAGAAGTTTGAATAAATGATTCCTATAGCAGAAACACGTGAGGTGATGCAGCAAAGCTGTACAATCCAAATATAACTATATTTTGCTATGTAGAAAATAAAACATCTTACAGTTACTAAAAATTATTAAATCATAGCTTTAATAGGTAAGTATTGATGGATAATCGCCCTTTAAAAGGATGATGTTTCCTGTCTTATGTTTCTCTTGAAAGTATTTTCTCTATCGTCGATCGTATCCATTCTGATCCATATTTTATGTATTATTGCACCCATAAGACATTTTTTATTGCAATAAGCTTCAACAAAGGACGGCAAGGCCAATCCTACACCACCTAACTTGACATACTTTGAAAGAGACCAGAGGTATATAAGCTGATTGGAGATGCATTGGGAGAATGTTTAGGTGTGCGATCGAATGAAATTACTATGATTTTGGTTTTTCTGGTCATCTTTCTTGTGAAAATAGCCACTGATAGCGGGATGTGGTTGGATGTTTGTGGATTTCGGCTTATAATTTTTGGTCAGCTTCAGTAGGTTTTAGAATCATAGTTGTTTTTTTTGTTTTTTTTTTTTCACGTAGCCAAAGCTTTGCAAATCAATAGGTTGTTCTGAGTGAAGTTGAAGAGGGGGATGTTGGAGCCCTTCACTATGTTAAATGTTCAACTGTGCGAGGATTTTTCTACAACCATGGGGAATATTGAAGGCTGTCTTTTTTAATTCATGTACTTTGGCTCCATATTGCTAAACAATCTCGATTGATAGACCCGATTGCTGATATGTGTATAATAATACATCCGTTAAAAACGTTTATTCGTGGCGGCATTATACTATCGAATGGTCAAAAACAAAATATATAGGTGTTAAACATGTTGCCCCTGGTGTCATCGCATACCTGAATTAACATATGCAAATCGTTCTTTAAAATGCTATTAACCCTCTGTAATAAAAATTGTTATCTATTTCTATTTAGCATTTTAATAAATTTTCATTGTTAGACATAATTTTTAGTGGCTTTTAAATAATGTACAATATATTTTCATAGTAATTAATGTCTACTTAATATGCCTTTATATGAAACTTATTATGAACACAAATTTTAAAAGTCATAATTAGTATATAACTCAAGTACTTTGATTTATTAATTTTTGATACGCTGAAAAAATAATAAATAACAATTAATCCTAAGCCTGAACTTTTATTTATTCAACAATATAAATATAAAATATTAATAAAATGTACCTGCAAGAAGAGAAACATCCATTTTGGGTTTCTGTTTTCACGTGTTTCAAGTATTTCGAATCTTTTCTGATGCACAATTCTAAAATTCAAATAATTATCACATCCATCTTTGTAAATTAATAGAGATGATTTACTACATATATACATATATATTGTTTCATGTTTTTTTAAAGTAACATATGTATCTGAAAAATATTTGTCCCAGAAAGCATTGAAAACAAAAGTAGGTAAAACGTATAAGACACATAGATCAAAAAATATAACTTAATAAAAATGTTTTTTGATTGAAAACAAAAGTAGGTAAAACGTATAAGACACATAGTACAAAAATATAACTTAGTAAAAATGTTTTTTGATTGATATTTCTCAGAATTAACAAATGGATATTGAAAAATAAAATTTGTTAAAGCCGAAAGAAATATATGTTCAACAGTTTTTTCAAGTTAGGGGGGCAGCAGAGAGACATACCAAATGTGTTTATTGTGTTGTTAAAACGGTAAACTCAGATATGATATTACACTTTATTTGTCTCTTTTGTTTGTTGTACGGAATGGTTTTATAACAAGGAAAGCTATTACTTTAAAGCTGTAATTTGTTTATGACATTTATTGTAGTATTTATGAGTTAGGCATTTAGATTCCAAAGCTACAGCTGAAAGATATATGACCTAAAGATATGTGCTATAATAGACCACTAAATTTGCTGGATGAATAATATATTGTAAAGCTGTAATTTGTTTATGACATTTATTGTAGTATTTATGAGTTAGGCATTTAGATTCCAAAGCTACAGCTGAAAGATATATGACCTAAAGATATGTGCTATAATAGACCACTAAATTTGCTGGATGAATAATATATTGTCTAAGAAGACAAAAAAAAAAAAAGTTAATAGATCTTACAATTTACATTGTTTTTCGATTTCTTATGCGCAGAAGACTATAATAAATTACGAATTTGGTATTTTCCACTTGAACCGCACCTTATGTGTTAGGTCAAAGACCCCCAGAAAAAATAATGGCCTTAGTTTTAAGTTAGCATGAGCTATTGATTTCAATTTTTTTCGCGCTCTTACATCAGTAAATTGTTTTTCGGGCCATATGTGTAATCTCTATTAACTACTTTGTTCCCCGATGTACGTTTGTACTCACCAATTTCACTACGTTTACAAAATCGCCCAGAAGTCATATTTATCGATGTCCATCTTGCTGGAGATAAACAGCCGCAGATATTTTGAAGATATTTCTGACTGAGAACGTAATGACACACCTAAGTAAAAAATAAAATAAAATAAAAAGGTAGATTTTTGGCTTTCATGGGCTATTCTTGCATGTTTCTAAAGTGGGACTATGTTTCAGCTTCAAAACTAAGGCCTTCCACAGCCGTTAGTATAAAATCCGAAACATAGCCCCATTCTAGAAATGGGGAGAAGTAGTCCACAAAACTACCCCATGTCTACAATGCCTAAAACTCCTTTGTTAAAACAAAACATTTTGACTTTTTCTGGGATATTAACTTAAATTCTTTAAGTATATTCATATGATCTTATTAAGGAATTAATTGATATAACACATTGATAGGAATTTCATCATTTAACTAAGCATATTATTCATTGTTTGTTGTTCAACACAAAGCTACACAATAGACTATCCGTGCTTTGAGTACCGCAGGAATTGAATCCTGAATGATTGCGTTATAAGCGTCACTCACAGTTATAGTTCCAATTATAGCTTAGAAGCACTAGCCACTTTGTTCATTTTGGGTTTCAACTTGTTTATTAGTAGAGTTTCTTTGATTCGTTGCTTTAGTTCAGTCTTAACTCTTCCAATTATATTGAGTTCAAGTGCCGCACTGTAGAGCTGAGGTCTTTTAGTTTGTGTTCCGTTACTAAAATCGCACGCGTTATAAGCGTGACGGTCAAATCCCATTATTAGGTCTGACAAGAGTATCCCAAGAATTGACGACAGGTGGTGTTGACTAGCTACCTTCCCTGTGGTATATCGCTTCAAAATTAGGGCCAACTAGCGTAGATAGCCCTCGTGTAGCTTTGCGCTAAATCCAACAAACAAACAAACTAACTAACTAGTTTGAAATTTTCGTTTTTCACTGGTTCGTCAAATTCTGTAATAGCGAGGTACATTATATGGAACCTATCTTTGTTTTGGTTATTCGAATTATCTTTAATATGCTCGTGAAGACATTCCGTTCGAACAAATAAAACGCAGATAGGTCCAAAATAATGTACCTGCTATTACAGAATGTGACGAACGAGTGCAATACAGTTGGATCAATAAAACAACAGAACAAAATTCTACTAATAAACAACTCAGTTGAAATCAAAACTCAACCAAGTTACAAGTGCTTCTTGGCTATTACACAAACTGTAAGTAACGCTACAATGAACCACTGGACTTTAATATGCTAATAAAATTAGCGTTATAAGTGTTTAAGCTTACCACTTAGCCACATGGGGGACATAATGATGACAAATAAAATTATTAAAATGTTATTAATACGAGAATATTTAAATAAGGTTTTCTTTTTAGAATATTTGTTTTAAATGAAGCATGTACTTTAAATAGAATACTACTTTTACCTTTTTATCAACACCCAATTGATCATCATTGTGACATCTTTGTCCGTAAGGTTCAGAAAGTCTCTCAGTTGTGAACTAAATCAAATTAGACGGTTTATATTGATATATATATATATATATATATATATAATACACAGGTTAATTAAAACAATTAAAATTTGCAATATTATAGATGTAACAAGGCAAAACATTGTCATGAAATTATGTTAGTCACCTCTCAATGCATTGTTATTACGTAAATATAATCTGAAACTAATTATTTTACGTTAATTAGAATACAAGATAGTAATAAAATAGCGTAATATGTTTAACTCTAACTTGAGACTGTTTGTATATATTTTTTCCCAGGCTACGAGTAGTGTAAGTGTTAAGCTCCCACAATTTGGAAGGTGCGATAGGTACAAGAGTAATTTATATTTGGGAATTCGGGACTGACATGCACATTTAAACAACCTAATATTGAAGTTGTACAACATGTAAGTTGGAGGAGAAATTGGAGGCTATGGATAAAGAGAAGGATAAACTAAGGTAAATGACAACTGGCTTGAAAGAGGATATTAAGCTTTCGCATGCAAAGGATACAGTGGTTAATAATGACTTTCAGGAAGTGAAAACAGTATTAATAGGGCTAATACTACTAGTGAAATTAATTATAATGAACAGGTTATATTAAATAATACGTTTAAGCCTTTATCTTGTGTAGATGATGAACTACACGAGGGAACGATAACAAAAAGGAACAGATAGGAATTGGAATACAAAAATGTAAGGAGGTTATCTTTATAGGAGATTCTTTAGTACGGCACTTGGATAGAATGATCTGTGAGATAAACAAGTAGAAAAGAATTAGATTATGATATCCATGGACAGAGGTGGAAGATGTAACCGACAGAGCAAGTGATATAGTAAAAAGCGCTAGCAGTGATGCAGTCTTTGTGATGCACATAGGGGCTAATGATGTGGGGAAGGGTAGGTCAAAAGGTTTATTGTTAGGTTTGTTTGTTTGTAATTAAGCACAAATATTTAATATTTTCCTGTTAGACTAATTCTTCTGATTTTCTATAATCATCTAAATCTACCAGCATTGAAATTAATGTAAACTAATTAAATTTATAGTGCATTTATTAAACTTTATACACTTTGTGAACAAACGTGTTTTTTTTTTTTTTTACTTGCAGTCATAATTTTTTTTCTATAAGGATCATGTCACTCACGAATATTTTGGAATTTATTTCAAAACTTTTTCACATTTGATCAACATCTCCAGCTATTTCAGTTTCCCAGTTCACAGCAGATAATTCTTGTTTCATCTCTTCAAAATTACCCTTTTGAAATTTGAAACCAAAATATCACCATTCCTTATCTCTATATGCAGCAAAGCATCAAATATAATTGAACAACGATCACTTGCATCCAGATGTTTTTCAGTTTTCACCCTATCAACCATTTCCTTATTAGAAGTTAACAATAAATTTGAAATAGCATTTTTCCGAGTAGTTCCTATCCAATTGTTGAAGAAAGCCATCCTGAATAGTTTCTAAAAACCTGTCTCCCCCATGATTTGACTCTAACATTTCCTAACCCATATGCTTGAAATCAAAATATCCCATAATTATAACCTCATTAACAGTTGAATTCCATACTTCACTGAAGAGTTTCCATGAATTTATTCAGTTTAATCTTTAAAATGGTGGTCTGTAACATACTCCAATTAAAAGCCTTCTCCCCTTAAAACTACTAACAGAAATCCAGTAGATTCAACCTTATTGCTATTAGCTTTGATATCCTCAAATTGAACTGGATTAACTCACACTTTACATATAAAGCCAGTCATCTTTTTAATACCACATTCCTATCAAATAATTTATAACACCGTGTTTCAATAAAAATTATCCACATTTAAGTAGGTTTCAATTATTGTTACTGTATCAGTCTTTATTTTTCTTCATAATTCTGTTTGTCTTTACTCTCTAGTTCTAATTTAAAGTTGCCCTTACATTTGAGTTAATAATGCTTGCAAACAAGCTAAACCTACCGTATTTAATTAAAGGTAAACCATCTATTCCAAAAAGCTCTCTTTTCCCACTGAAATGATTCCACAAATCCAATCAGTTCATCCTTAAATATTAACCTAAGCCTAGTTTTCAACTCTAGTGATCTACTTATATCCCCACAACTATATTTTGGCAGTATCCCTGACAGAAGTGAATTGTACAGCTGTTTTCTTTATAAGCTTTAATTAATGCCTTTTCCTAACAATAAGCCCCCCCCCCCCAGTGGCACAGCGGTATGTCTGCGGACTTACAACGCTAGAAACCGAGTTTCGATACTCGTGGTAGGCAGAGCACAGGTAGCCCATTGTGCAGCTTTGTGCATAAATTCAAACACACAAACAAACAAACCTAACAATAAGCCCTCACTGGCACAGCGGTATGTCTACGGACTAACAACGCTAAAATACGGGTTTCGATACCCGTGGTGGGTAGAGCACAGATAGCCCATTGTGTAGCTTTGTGCTTAATTACAAACAAACAAACAAAATCTATGTATTAATCTTACAAAAATTTGTCTCAGCCTTCATTTTATAATAAATTACACAATTTAAAGCGATTCATATTTTTTCATGGGCCATGGCTAGCTTTGTATTTTTGACAAAGCCACTAAAGCTATCTGACACTGTCTCTAATATAGAACTACTAACCAGAGGGAAGGCAGTCAGTCAGCATCCTAAAACCATCATCCACTCTAGGGGATTTACTGTAAAACACATATACAGCTTAATATGCGGAGAATTCTTTGTGGTATCTCACGGATTCTAGCCCAGCTCGCCAATTCCAAAATCCAGAAATCTACCATAGGGACAACCCACACCCCATGGCTAGATTACAAAGAATATATATGGGGGCTTCCCATACGTGTGATAAATGAAACTCAGCCAATCACCGCAGGATAATGCCAACTAAACAAAATTGTTCCAAAATGTCTAGAGAATGTGGACTTCTTCAAACCGATGGTACAATTGGTTGGACTCTTGGACAAGAAAGACCATTCTTCACAGCAAAAGACATACGGCTGCTATCAGTTGATTCTGGCTCATCGCAATCGGAAGAAATCGTCTCCAAGAGTAAATTGGGTGTTTGCAACTGGAATTAGATGTTCTGTTAATGCACAAATAGTGAAAAACAACATCCACGAAGTTAATATGTATCTTATCTGAATAGTACCAACGAAATTTCCGAATGATAAAAAAATATGTGGAATAATTTCCTTTTTAGAGATGAGCAGATGAGCCGCGCGTCAAAGGAAGGTGACGTTTATGGTGGTGGTGGAAGCAGGAAGCATCTAGATTCCGTAAAATAATATTATTATACCACACATTAAAGAACTACGTTTTACAACTCTTTGTACTACTACATACTGAAACAGTTATCCCTGACTTCAACCTAACATGCGATAATACCAGAATCATGAGCCGTAATAGTCAAGCGGAATGATCTTCACACTAATTGGAATTCAGTTCCATCGAGCAGGTCGGAATGCAATTGGGAAACATTTCTCATCTTGTTGATAAATGGCTCCAGGCACTACTAAAGAAAGGATCGTCGAGGATACATTAGGAATTTAACAACACCAACTTTTAGCCGGTAACAGCAGAGTCAGTTTGCCCCT